AAGGGTTATGATGTGGAGAGGTCAGTTCTGCAGAATAGATTGAAGGAGCGGGGAATTGGGGAATTTAATCTGAAGAGTGTGTTGGAGGGTAGTAGGGCACAGGTGAGGGAACTGGTGGGGTTTCTGAAGGCTATAGGTGTTTATGACAGAGTGTAGGGTTGTTGTTGTTTTTTTTTTTTGATACAGCTTGTGAACTCACTGTCTGACCCATACTCCGGAACAGTAGGAGGCGGTAATGCTCCTTTGCGTTGGTTGCCAACTGCCGTTAAACACAAAGAAGAAGAACTGGGGCTGGAACTACACGGAGGAGACCGACAGTTCCTGTCGGACAGAGATTCGGTGAAGCCACAGCCAAACAAACCGCGCGGAGGCTAACAACTAGCAGTGCCAAACCCGCAGTCCCGGCCCGGTTCGACCCCAGGCAGCATGTACGCGGACTTCCGGGCTCCCCGGCGCCGCCTCCGGGTCACGGAGGAGTTCGAGGCTCCGCTGCCGCTCAGCCCGCGCGAGAGGAGCCACTTCCAGGCAGAGCTCCTCAATCAGCACGTGCTGGTCTGTGATCCGGAACACAGCCAGAAGATCCACGACCAGGTCTGACCACACCCACCTCACCTGAGCCGCGCGTGAGAACACGGGCACAGACGGTCACGGGGTCCGTGTAGTGACCATTAGACACAACCTGGGGCGGAAACAACATATCAAACAAGCACATATTGCCTTGTTTGCCTTAGAAAATTTGGATTGATGTATACGAGGTTTAGCCAGTAAGATTAGTAAATGAATCAAATAAACGTCGTTTGCTTTATTTCCAGGGTCAAAAAAGCCAAACAATATTTTCCATAACAGAGAGAGCGGTCAGAATAGATCATAGAAACAACAAAGGCACAGAAATCGTGCCAGGAGAGATAAAGAACATAAACAAAGACACGTGAGGAATCTCTTCTTTCTGACAGGAAACAAAATGAACAGTTAGCATCAGTCTTTTTTATATCCTACAAGAAAAGTTCTGGTGGGGTCAAAACAATGAATGATTTTTATTTGATTTTAAAAGGAATTTTCTTGACTGTGTTGGCTAACAGGAGTTTTCTATGGTAAGGTCCAAATTTTCTTCCACTCCAGGTCCCAGTATAATTAATTATTCCAGTGAGCACCGGCCGCTGGGACACAAGTTGTGTCTTTCTGAAATAGAGTTGGTTTGTCGCTGGTCCTGGTGTCGAGCGCACAATTTGACGTCACATCCTGACCAGCAGGTGCAGTGTGTGAGGTGCATCAGCAATTTGCTGCCGGAGGTTTCTTCCTGTTAAAAGGGAGTTTTTCCTTCCCACTGTCGCCAAAGTGCTGCTCATAGGGGGTCATATGATTGCTGGGTTTGTCTCTGTGTGTATTATTGTACATCTACTGTACAATATAAAGCACTTTGAGGTGACTGTTGTTGTGATTTGGCGCTGGATAAATAAAATTGAATTGATGCACTTATGACTAAATCAGAATCCTTTATTAATAAGAGTAAGAACAATAAAAGACTCAACTAAATTAAATATATAAATTAAATACAATATATTACAAAGTCACAAAAAATAAGAAATAGCACTACTAAACAAAGAGCTCAATGATAAATATCCAGATTATTACAGAGATTAAATATACATGATTGACATTTTTCACTCTAACCTGTAAAACGTTGTTTTCACTGGAGGACGTACAAACACTGTAACTACTCCACCATGTGTGTGTATTAGATGGAGGTGCACAGAGATGGCCACAGGCAGGAATGACTTCTTGTGTCATTCAGTGGTGCATTATGGGTAATCTCAGTCTCCCACTGAGCGTGTTCCTGTGATTGGCCAGCACGTCATGGAGTGGGTGGGAGAGATTGTCCAGCATTGTCTTTGTCTTGGACAACATCTGCCTCTCAGACACCATCCTAACGGAGTCCAGCTCCGTCCCCACAGCATTACTGGTCTTGTGATCAGTTTATTCAGTCTGTTGGCGTCTGCGACCCTCAACCTGCTGTCCCAGCATGCAACAGCACATAGGATAGCGCTGACCACAGCAGGCTCATAGAAAATCCTGAGCATTGTCAGACAGATGTTGAAGGACCCCAGAGGTTCTGGCCCTTCCTGTAGAGAGCAGAGGTGTTTAAAACCCAGTCCAGTTTATTATCAGTGTGTACTCTGAGGGATTTATAGTCCTCCACAGCGACGCCCTGGACTGAAACAGGGCTCAGGTTTTAGAGATGACAATCATTCATGTGTGCTCACAGCTCAGCCAATCAAATTGGAAAGAGGCTTAGTCCCGCCCACGGCTCTGCCTGTATCCACCTTAGTGCAGCCAGGTGCTGACAGCTGAACACCTGTGCTCTTTTCAGGGTTACTTTGGTAAAGGGGTTCTGTCCAGATCCAGACCGGAGCACAACATCTCCAACCAATGGGAGCGTGAGTTTACACCTGCACAATGACATCATCTCCGGCCTCCTCCAATCAGAGCTGCTCTCTGGAGTCAGCTGGTCTCTGTTTCTGTTACAGAACACGAAGGCGTGTTTCTACCTGTGGTCTCACAGGCCAGGTTAGTGACACCACTTCCTGTCTATATTCTTAATCACACCACTTCCTGTTGTCGTTTGCTCACACAGTGATGTCACCTCTTACCTCACAGGTATGAGGAGCTGCTCAAGTGGGTGGGGTCAGCTCTGTCTGCTCAGGGATGGGATGAAGAGCCCGTTCATCAAACCCTGCTCAGGCTTTCTCAGCCAATACAAATGGAGGATGTGAGGAACCAGATGGGAGGGGAGGGGGAGGCAGAGGAGAACGGTGAAAGGGGGAAGGAGGAGCCGGAGCAAGAAGGAGGAGTCAGCCCCCAGATGAAGAGGTCAAGACGGGGGTCAGAGGTCGAGCCGGAGGCCAAGAGAAGCTGCAGGTAGTGTTTTGTTTCACTGCACCCAGGGTCCATTTAAAAATCAGTCAATTTTAGATTCTGCTTCCTTTACCTGACAAACATGAGAGGACAAATAAAACCTAAAACGAAAACACTATGTCATTGCTTCTTCGGCTGAATTTGGCCGATTATCGTCAGTAATTTGACTCTAAACATCTGTGCAGGCAGACAATGGCATTCAAGCCAAAGTTCATAAACGGGTCCATGTGGTTTCTCCTCTATGGCTCTCAGCACAGTCAGGTGGTCTAGGTTTATTCAGATGATGCAGTTCAGTTTGTGTGAACCAGTTCTCTGTGAACACCTCCAGCTCAGAACAGGACTCCGACTCCAGTTTGGACTGTGATCCTGACTCGGATCCTGATCCTGCTCCTCTGGTTCCTGGTCCTGGTTTCCTCCTGGTGGTCTCTGACAGTGAGGTGGGTCTTCATGGTGGAGGAGAAAAACAGTCCAGCAGAAAGCTGGAGTTAACATCTGATCACTGTGTATGTACACGCAGACTGGAGGCGGGGTCAGGGAGGTGAGGCGGACACCGTTCTTTCTCTCCGAGTACCTGCAGCTCAGTCTGGAGGAGGTAATGCATCGTTTTTCTCATGTAGTCGTGTTTGACGTGTGTGTGTGTGTGTGTGTGTGTGTGTGGGGGGGGGATTTCCAGTTGAGAAAACAGCTGTTTAAGTAGAACTTCAGGTTTAGGTGTTCAGATATTGTTTTTCTTCTTGTTTTTATGTCATGCTAACATAGCTGTGTCGCTAGCCACCACGTAGCACATCATCATATACCAGCTAGTCCAACTTCAGTAACCCTACAAACTGCTGCTTAGCTTTCTGTCTTCATTTATGTCTGAAGTGACAGCAGAGCTGTACGTTTGAATCTCTGTCAGAACATGCTATATCATGTTTAGGTGGAAGCTAGCGAGCTAACTTCCTGCTAACTTCCTGCTAACTTCTAACTCTGCTAAACTTCATAAATTCTGTTTTCATGGATGCCTGGATGTTAAACTTCATTGTTACAGCTGGTAAAGCAGCAACGCTGATCATTTTATTACAGATGAAAGAATTTAGACACCTCCACGATGACAGCATCATCCACTCCCACAGGTAGATAATGGTGATGGTTGTCTGAAGGTTGTGTGGTTTCAGGCTTTCAGCTGCACTGAGCAGGTTTCACAGTTACTTCCAGGGGTGTCAGACACACAGCAGGTCCTACATTACCAACAATCCTCAGCTCCGTCAGGTTTGACAGCAGTGAGCTCCTGCTCCACCTGAACAAGCTGAGATGTCAGTGAGGTGTTCAGAGCTGCTGTTGGGGTCACAACAGGTTCAGCTTCTTTGTCTGTGTCGCCCTCAGGCCTTCTTCCTGGTCTACAGTCTGGGCTGCCTGTCCGTCTACCAGCAGCAGGTAACTGTCTCTCTCTCTCCGCCTCATGTGTTTCACTCAAAGCTCCTCCCACTCTGACCTTATTGCTCTACTAACCTCTAATTGGTCAGGAACCCCTGTCCATCGTGCAGCTGTGGAGGACGTTTCGGTCCCTGCGTCCTGATTTCATCAGCTCCTATGCAGTCTATCATCACTTCCGCAGCAAGGGGTGGGTCCCTAAAGGAGGGGGCGGAGCCAAGTATGGCGTAGACCTCAGTAAGACAAACACACAAACACTTGGGTAGGGGTTGCTATTAGGGCTGGGCGATATCATACCGTTCACGGTAATACCGGTATAATGTTAGGCAACAATAAGAAAATGAAATATCGCGATAGAATTTGGGTAAAACGCACATGCGCAGTGCCTTTGTTTTCATACGCACATGGCCGAAAAAGCACGGCAGATCTTTGAATAAAACCGATGAACCAGAATTGGTTTGTAAAAATGGTGCCACTTCAGTGATGTGGAACTGGTTTGGTGTTTGTCC